GTAACAAGGACCCCGCGAGGAACAAAGTACGCAGGTGGGATTAAATACACTGAGGGTAATCAAAGAAACAAGACACAGCTGAGAGTAATCAATGGGAAGACAGGGCAACGAGGAGACTAGGACACAGAAAACTCAAATAAACACACGGAAAAACACAGAACATGACCGTTGCTGAAGAGGCAGCAGCTCCTCCCAACCCCACTGGGGTCAAGGGTTAGAAAATGGATGGATATATTGAGCGTCCTGATCTGCACTCCATTCCAGTAGATGGCGGTGATGCACATCTGAACTTTGCTTGCCAACCGCTATAAAGCAGGGGAAGAATAAGGACAATTATTAGGGTAATTAGGGTATTAGGATAATTATTATGAACAGATTTTCGGATTATCTAACCCTAACCCTATTATCTGTGCTTCCTTGGATAGATGGCTAAGTCTATCTGTCTGTGCTACCCGTCTAAAACTGCTACCATCATGTTTACGAACTGAAAACTGCAGCAGGTTGTTCATGTGAAATATTCTCATTGGATAACATAGAGTGGCTGAAGTGGAAGTTCAACGTTTGTGTTGACTAATGTTAAATATAGTGCAGTTAGGAGTTATGGTTAGCTTAGTAGTGAACAATTTCTATACACGACAAAAACACAACAATATCACTTCCTTCATCTGAATATCCTACCGTTTAAAATGAAAAGCTATAGATGTAGCACTAACCCTTTTATTAGAATATACCTTGTAAAATATTTTAAACACAGAGGTGTTTGTATCAGACAGGAGAAACAGGTTTTTATCTCACGTCAGCACTTTGATGGCTGTTTTAAGAAAGCTTATGTCTAAATGTATTTGTCGTTTAAACAAGTCTAATAATAGAATTATTCTAGTGTTGACTAATGTTAAATATAGTGAGTAAAATACTCATCTGAACTTTGGAGACATTGGTATGACTAACTCCTGAATGGTTAGGAGCCTTTTTTATTGTACTTTTTATTATTTTATTGTATTTGTTTTCTTTTTGTGTAATTTGGGCTTTGAGTCTTTAATAAATCCATCCATCCATCCATCCATCCATCCATCCATCCATCCATCCATCCATCCATCTATCTGGTGACCTGAAATGATGGGATATGACTAATATCCACTAATATTTATACCGCTGTCACACAGCTTCGATCTCAAATAACTGCTACCATCATTCTCTGTTTAGGACAGTTTAATAAAAAAAAGAAGACTGTTGTTAAACTAAAATATTTTAATATTTACTGGCTTTAACAGCTCACCTCTGTCTTCGACTACATAAAACAAACGAAACAAAACTTCCACAGGTAGAATGTATTGGGAAGAAATCTGCTGAGTCAGCAGTATGTGACATAGCATCGACATGCGCATCACCAGGTAGGACGGATTGATGGGGAGCACAGAAAGTTAGGACGCCTGTTCCAATCCTCGCCCCGCTATGAAGTCACAGTGAAACGGGTTCTAGTGTTCAGGTCACACGCAGCAAAAATGTGACAATTAGGACAGAAGGCTTCTGTGTCACAACTTCAACATCCATATTTGTGCTTCTAAAAAGTAAAACTACAACAAAAATCGAATTTAAATGTACAGTAGCCATATTTTTGTTTCCCAAAGTTATTGCAAGAGATATTTGGCTCTTCAAATGTGTTTTGATACGACTTGGAAATGGAGCAAAATTAGATGGAATTACATGTTCAGCGAAGTGAAACAAAAGTTATTTCCATACTTTACATTTGAAAACTGATTTTTGTAACAGACTCAGCTTGCTCTGTGAACCCTGCCGTATTTCCAAGATGATAAAAAATACGGAATATCCAATTTAATAGTCTTAAAGGCAATTCCCTCTGCAACTCTGCAGACATGATTACATATTCAGTCATTAACAGACAAACAAAAACACACAATCTCTGATTATGAATGTTGTGACTTTATTGACCAAAAATGTACCAGAAATTCATCAGGAACTTTGACATCAATATTATTCCTCTATGAAGAAAACATTTAAAAATCATGATGATCTCTAAAGAAAATAGAGACCAAATATCTTTCTATTCCACAAAAATTGAAGATATTAATTTCATAATTATGTGTGAAATTTTCCCTTTATTGACTTCCTGCAAAAAGATAAAAATCAATTTCTGTGTTTTGAGACAATAATTTTTTTTTCAAGGTTTCAGAAGGAAATCTTGTACAAGAAGTCTATTCCATCTTTAAGTTTTAATATTGTTGACATTATGAATGTTTTTGTGCTCTCATTTGTTGTTGTTGTTGTTGTTTTTTTTTCTTCTCATTATTGGATTATTCTGTGTCACATCACGTGACCTGTCTAATTGAACACACTTGTGTACAATAAAAGGGTGTGTCCTCCAAACAAAGGGAGAACAACACGAAAGCCAAAACGGTTCGAGTTTCTTCATGTCACGTTGAACGCTGTGCCGAAAACTGATTCTGCTAACAAATATAATAAAACTGTGTCTAACAACAGTGAAGAGTTAAATTATTATATATGTAATTCTCTGGTGAAGTTTAATTCATAAATACTGTTTTCTAAAAATCACCTCCATTTTTAAAGCGAAATAATTTTATTTAAGAGGGTTTAATGTTCACAAAAGCCCAATATTTATACCATTATGTCATTTAAGATTTGAAGTTCCTCTTTTATTAACATTTTGTTTTACATTCCCCACAGTTAGCTTGAGACTTTCTTTTTTTCTGCTCAGTTTATCATATCAGACTCTTGTTACTGATGAGTGCTTTGTCATACTATTGTCTTTGAATTTTAAATAAAAGTGAAAAAACACATTGCCATAAATCCACCTTATAACTGAAAATGTCACATGCAGTAATGGCTTTGGTGCTGAGCAGCAGGGCTGAAACAGGACCCAAAATGTTCGTTGTTAAGTAAATTACATTCCATATAGCTAAAAATTATTATTTTTAATACAAGAGGAATTTTGTACAAAGTAACTCAAGTCCACTTTTTCCCTCTATTTTTTACATTTTCCTTTTTTTCTGCATTACTAATAGCGTTAAATTTTAACATTACACTCAGAACTTGTAAAATGCTCCTTGAGTATATTACATTTATGTTTTGAAATTTCATATCTTACCAAATATATTCATGTTTTTATCTGCAAGAACATCCTATGGTTTTATTTTTACTTAATGCAGATATCTAAACTGTTTTTTTTTTTTTTTACTTCAACCACAAAAACAATCAATAAGAAACTTTTTTACATAAATGGCTTGGTGTTAGATTAATGTATATATTTTATAAATGATACAGCTCTTTGAAATGAATGAACCTGAAGATTTATTAATTTCAAGGAGCCATAAGTGCCATAACTAGTAACATTACAATATTATTTTACACAAAAATATTCCAATGAGATGTATTTCTGTAAACATGTCCAGTATTACCAGCAGTACTGAGACTAATCAATAAATCAATAGTTATTGTGATCATTATATGCAGTAATCTTCATAGTTGTCAGTAGCAATAGTAATCAATAGTTACAGTAATTTATACTAGTGTATATAGTAGTCAATAAATATGTTTTTGTCTCCTTGTGATGATGACTTCACGTTCACAGAAACTGACGTCATCCTTCCAGTAATGTGGAGAAACTTTCCTGGTATGGCAAGCCGTTTTAACATAAATTCGGTTCGTCCGACTATCCGTAATTACATTCCATACAGCTAAAAATCAATTTCAACAATCCGGAATGGTAATTTAAGATATCTGCATTTATATTCTGACAAGTGGGAATAATAATTCAAGATATCTTCAATTACATTTTGACGAGTCAATATTCCTTTCAAAATGTCTCCAATGATGTCACTGGACCTGTAATTGATGAGACTCATATCCGGAATTGCGATTTAAGATATCTTGAACTTAATTATCACCAGTCAAAATTACAATTTTAGATATCTGAATTAAGCATGACGTGGAAGCCCCTTTGTGTTGCCCAAACAGTTTCCTGCAGAATTTGATGTCCATAAATGGCACAAATTAGAAAGAGCTCAGCAATGTTGGAAATGCGGAGAAGGCAAAACTTCATAAACTAGCAATATCTGCAAAAAAATATCCTGGTTATTTATTTCCGACGAACCGAATGCACTTAAAAACAGCTTTAAAAAGCTAAAACTGCTGTTGTCAATCCATTTTCAACATGAAAGTTGTGCATTTTCAAACATCTTGTTTTGTTTTTTCTATTTTTCATTGTTTTATTAAACTTTCAAATTGCCACTTAAATCAATGACGCTTTGACTAGACAGAATGTTCATTTAAGATATCTTAAATAGAAAAGTTGAATAATTCGAGATATCTCTAATTCATTTAGATATGTTAAAATGAATTTTGACTTGTCAAAATTATAATTCAATTTAGTTTTGTCTAGTCATTATTTACTTTTAAGATATCTATAATTTAATTTCCACTAGTCAAAACTACATTTCTCCTATCCAAAAATACATTTAAGATATCTTGAATTATGGACTAATTAGAGATAGGCCTATCTTTGATTTGAATTATGACGAGTAACTAACCAGGACGACAAATATTCTCCCTGTAATTGCATAAATGCCATGTTTTTAAAAATGTCCTAAGTAACCAATAAACTTTTTTCGAAAGAAAAAATTGACTAGTCAAAACTACAATCGAGATATCTTGAATTTACTTTTTGACTAGTCATAATTAAATTGTAGATTTCCAAAATGTGTATTTCAGATAGTCAGTAATTCATTGTAGACGTCTTGAATTGAAGTCTCCATGCAAGTCAATGGTAAACCTGACGTCATTTCGACTTGTCAGAATGTAATTAGAGATATCTTAAATTGCTAAAACGTCTAGTCATAAAACAATCTGAGATATCTGGAACGTAAGGGCGGCAAAACCGAATTTATGTAAACGGCTTGCTATACTCGGGGCGGGGCACGACAGTTACGCGTTGACGTCAGTTTCGGGGCGTGTCTATAAAGCCTTGTTTTCGCAGCGCTTGTCTCCATTTTGTGAGAGCTGGTAAGAACGAGCCGACCGGGCGTCCCAGCGAGCAGAACCCAGTAAAACAACCAGAACAGGAGAGAAAAGAGACAGTCAGCAGCCGAACCGCCCCAGAACCAAGTTATTATCCGAAAGGAAAGCAAATCTTATCGTATGTCCGCTATCCAGAACCTCCAAACTTTTGGTGAGTGCTTTTCTGTCGATGCAGAATGTGGGGGAAGGGCGGGAGGATTTTGTTGTTTTTTGAACCGGTTTCTTTTAATTCTGTCTTCATTAAGTTGATATGAGCGGTTTGATGTTAAGAGCATAACTCTAAAAACGTTTTGTTGTCGGGTTTTATTCTCTACCGGGATTGAGGCCTTCAGGCCAACATCCGCCATTACTGGGCCTAAAGAAGCTAACGGTCCCCGCTGCTAAGGCTGTTAGCTGTTAGCTTCCTAACCGGGACCGCTCTGATCCCCGGTTAATTAATAGGGTCACTTGTTAGAAAAATATATAGATTCTGCGGAGCACATTTGACATATGATCCCCCTCATAAAAATGAACATGTCTGTTATTGTTCCGGAAGTTGGCTCAGGTCCATACCCGGTTCTGATCGTCTTGTTCTTTCAGACCCCTTTGCTGATGCAACTAAGGGTGATGACCGCCTCCCAGCCGGGACTGAGGACTACATCCACATAAGAATCCAGCAGAGGAACGGCAGGAAGACCCTCACCACTGTCCAGGGCATCTCGGCCGACTATGACAAGAAGAAGCTAGTCAAGGCCTTCAAGAAGGTAACATGTGGCAGTTCATCTGGAGCAGCCCGAGCTGCAGCTGATTCTCCCCGAAACATTTACCTGGTGGTGCAGTGAGCCTACCTGCAGCTTGTTTCTGTTAACAGAAGTTCGCCTGCAATGGGACAGTGATAGAGCATCCGGAGTATGGTGAAGTGATCCAACTTCAGGGAGATCAGCGCAAGAATATCTGCCAGTTCCTGATTGAGGTAGTTAGTCCCTCTGGAGGTAGTTAGTCCCTCTGGAGGTAGTTAGTCCTCTGGAGGTAGTTAGTCCCTCTGGAGATGGTTTGCCTCAGGTCTTCATGGCTTTCTCTCTCTGCAGATTGATCTGGCCAAGGAGGAGCAGCTCAAAGTCCACGGCTTCTAGACGCGGCCGGCGGCCCCCCTCTCTCCTGGACGGCCATCGCGACCCCTGCAACCCTGACCCTCTCCTCTATGTGCTGCTGTTGCCCTTCCTCCATCTCCTCTGCGACCCCACCAACTCCTCTTAGCCAGCGTGCGAATTACCTCTGAAGAACATGGGACTCTGTACCTCCACTACTGCCCTGCGACACCAGGGGGCAGCCTTGCTCTCACAAAGACACACCGCTGCAGCTCCACACATCAGGGATGAGTGGTGATGACCCTCCCTCACACACTTCCTCCTTCCATGTCCCTCTGGTTTTTCTTTTAGGTGCCACAAGGAGGCGCTGCTTCATGTAACATTTTTGTTTTGTACTTTAAGGTGTTTCAATAAACGATGAGTCTCCATTTGCTGGGTGGAGTGTTGTCCTGGGGGGTTCGGGTCGGCGCCGTCTGATTGACTGAAAAGTTTTAGTTTGCAACAAATGGTTTGGGTGTAGCGAACCAAGCTGGTTCACTGTGTTGGAGCGGTTCTGGTGCTGACCCTCTTCCCGGTTCGATCTTGACTAAATGTGCTTCTGGATGAGCTTCATGTCCTCAAGTGCAATAATTTATGCAGACGTATTAAAGCCATGCTGACTGAGATGGAAGGTTTAAATAAAGCTTTTCCAGTCGATTCTGTGTGGATGGTTCTGATCAATCGGGAGGGAAAACCTGATGTGCTCTACATGCTTCCTGTAATGTATCAGATCCAGGAAGATCCAATCTGGGTTTATTTAAATAGTTTTCTCATTTAAGCAGAACTTTTCTGGACCCAGTTAGAATACTGAAGTTAATTTCAATTAAACTGATCAAATATCAAACTGGTACTGAACCTGACAAACGGACCTCAGTGGAGCCAGACTCGTGTACTGAATGTTCGCTGGTGATTTCTATCCAGCTGTAAAAATAGAATCCAATCCTGGCAGGAATGTGTCAGCAGAAGGTTCTGGTTCTGGAGCCTGTTGACCAGTGTAACTCCAGAGAGCAGGTGGTTCTGGTCTGGCTGTGTTCAGAACCAGCATCTGGTTTCCTTTCACAAGAAGGTTCAAACAAAACCTTGTTTTTTACAGACCTAATAAATTTATTACAATTTTATGTTTTGAAAAAGTAAATTGAATGGGAATAATGCTACATTTTTGATTTGACAAATTACTTAAACTTGCTTTTTCTTCATGGAGTTTGCTTATTAAATTGTTTCCAAAAATTAACATTTGGTTACATCTTCAAACATTTGCACCGTTGAGTAAAGATTGCCCCATTAAAATTAAAATGATAAAAAACTGTTCAAAGTAAAAGGAAGAAATTTCGCTCTCGCTTCTTCGGTCCCTCGCAGGCATCCATCGGTCTCCATGGTAACGCTCCTGATGCCGCCATTGCTCGTTTGTTTTTGTTCTTCCTGCTTTTCTTCGATATTTCAGGATGAGGAAGAAGAAAAGCGACTTTATTTGGTTTCTGTTAGACTCGAAGAGTTTCACTCCCTGAGCAGTGAGTCTAAATTGTTTCCAGGAAAGGTTCGGTACCGCCGGTTCTGTTCATGTGAACCACGTCCGGTTCTTTTTAGGGTTCTAGATTAGCTTTTTCATGCTAACAAACTCCGGAGTCTGGAGCTGAAGTTGGCCTCTGATTGGGAGGTCCATTAAAGGGACATTTCAGTGAATTTAAGGTGAAACAGGAGAAACACGTTGTCCCTGAATGCATCATGGATTGTGATAAATAATCGAACATTGATGATCTGTCGGTGATCACTGTTTCAGGCTCAGGAATCTGTTGAAGGTTCTGCTCCAGACGCAGCAGAAGACGCAGCATGCAGGTCAGCATCTAGAAAAGAAACATCAAGTCTGAGCAGGCCTGAGCATCTAGACTTGGTGGATCTATATTAACAGATCTAGACTTGGTGGATCTATATTAACAGATCTAGACTTGGTGGATCTATACTACCAGATGTGTTTGGTGCCGCCCTGCAGGTGCTGCCGCCCTGGGGCCTTGCCCTCCCTCTCCCTGCAGTGATGCTGATCGCCGTCAGTCTGTACATGATGGTTCTGGGGGTCGGGCTGTGGATCCACTACTGCCTCAAGGTTGGTTCTGACGACCCGTTAGATCAGGGTTGGTTCTGATGGTGCCCTGCTTTAGTATTCACACCCTGAACAACCAAAGGCTTCATAAGGTTCTGTTAGGTTTTCATCTGAGGAACGATAAAATAATTTTTGGTTTTCAACAGTTTTACAAGTTAAAACCTGAAAAGTGTGGCAGGGATCCGTCTTCGGCACCCCTCTCCCCAGTGTTTCCATGGCAACCTTGTGTCCGAAGCCATCGAGCTGGTCTGATCAGGAGGCAAAGCTAATGAAGAATGATCAGACTTTAACTAGACACCTGTCCCTCCTGCACACCTGAGGCCTCCTTATCAAACACTGAGCAGGTTTCACTCTAAAACGTTTGGACAAATTTAGAAAAGAAAACTCTGGATGTATAAAACCTGGTTACACCTGCGCACCTTTCCTCGATTCATCCTGACTTACAGGAAGCAGCTGTAAGTCCCTAACCCTAACCGCCGTCGCCTCCATAAAAACATTTCATGTGAATTAGTAGAAATACCCGGACGTCTCCCTGAAGCAGCAACCATGGCAACGTCTTTGTTTGTAGCACAATAGTATTTATAATAAGTTTTATTTTTAAAAGGTGCTTTCAGGTAACATAGGGTCACCTCACAAAAATAATAACAATACATTTTAAAGACAAAAACTCCAAATGAAAGAATAAATAATAAAATCTGCAGCCGCTTTAAACCTGAATACAGGAAGCAGAACAGAAGCTTCGTTTACAGGGTAGAGATGCTTTCTGTCCACAAGGCGGGTCAGCCGGACCGGAACCGGTACCGGAACCGGTACTGGAACCGGTACCGGTTCAAGTTCTGCTCAGAGTCCCAGGATGATCAGTCTGGATCAATCTAAACGCCAATAAACCAGCAGATCAATATGATCTCTGATCAATGGCTCCATGTTCTCCATCAGAGCCACAGTAGCAGCTATACCTGAGATTATTGATCACCTGCAGTAATCAAACCTATTGATCAGCCCTGTTTTCTCTGCAGTGAGAATAAATGAGCCATAGATTCATTCAGACGAATCGTTTTGTCTTTATGAGACAAACTGAGCTCAATTCTTATTTACATGTTGTGATGTTTACACATCTTTATGTTATTTATTTTGTGTTGGCTTATTGTCTGAGGAGAAATCGGTTCAGTTTCATCGTTTAAACAATAAAATATTAGAGTCAGAGGTCACGATGCTTCCTGGTCTAAATGTTCAGCTTTCAGTTTGTTCAGGTGAGATTTGACTCTGTAGTTTATTGTTTTCACGTCAGAGAAAAGTGCACATATATAACAAACTTGACAAAAAGTTCATCTTAAACATGCCGACTTGAGCGTAAAATATGGCGCCGCACATTTTTGTGTGAACGGCGCTTTAACGTGAGGCCCCAGGTGTCCCTGGGACTGAATGCTAACCCTGCTCTCTGTGTGTGATGTCCCCTCAGGACTTCTGTCCCCCTTGTCCCTGCTGTCCCTGCTGTCCCAGTGTCTCCGTCTGCGACCAATGCTTCAGACTCGCTGAGATGTGCGACTGTCGTCTGCCAGGCGTAAGCGCCTTCCTGCCAGACTCATGTTCCAATGCTCCGGTGAGAGGAGTGGATGGATTGTTGATTGATGGATGGTTGATTGATGGATGGTTGATGAATGGTTGATGGATGATTGATGGATGATTGATGGATGGTTGATGAATGGTTGATGGATGGTTGATGAATGGTTGATGGATGGTTGATTGATGGATGGTTGATTGATGGATGGTTGATGAATGGTTGATGGATGGTTGATGAATGGTTGATGGATGGTTGATGAATGGTTGATGGATGGTTGATTGATGGATGGTTGATTGATGGATGGTTGATGAATGGTTGATGGATGATTGATTGATGGATGGTTGATTTGATGGATGGTTGATGAATGGTTGATGGATGATTGATTGATGAATGGTTGGATGGTTGATGAATGGTTGATGGATGGTTGATGAATGGTTGATGGATGATTGATTGATGAATGATTGATGGATGGTTGATGGTTGATTGATGGATGGTTGATGAATGGTTGATGGATGGTTGATGGTGGTTGATGGATGGTTGATGGATGGTTGATTGATGGATGGATGATTGATGGATGGTTGATGAATGGTTGATGGATGGATGATTGATGGATGGTTGATGGATGGATGGTTGATGGATGATTGATGGATGGATGGATGATTGATGGATTGATGGATGGTTGATGAATGGTTGATGGATGGTTGGGATGATTGATGGATGATTGATGGATGGTTGATGAATGGTTGATGGATGATGGATGATTGATGGATGATTGATGGATGGTTGATTGATGGATGATTGATGGATGATTGATGGTTGATGAATGGTTGATGAATGGTTGATGGATGGTTGATGGATGGTTGATGGATGATTGTTGGATGATTGATGGATGGTTGATGAATGGTTGATGGATGATTGATGGATGATTGATGGATGGTTGATGGATGGTTGATGAATGGTTGATGGATGGTTGATGATTGATGGATGATTGATGGATGGTTGATGAATGGTTGATGGATGATTGATGGATTGATGGATGATTGATGGATGGTTGATGAATGGTTGATGATGATGGATGATGGATGGTTGATGGATGATTGATGGATGTTGATGGATGGTTGATTGATGGATGATTGATGGATGGTTGATGGATGGATGATTGATGGATGGTTGATGAATGGTTGATGGATGGTTGATGAATGGTTGATGGATGGTTGATGGATGATTGATGGATGGTTGATGGATGGTGGTTGATGGATGATTGATGGATGATTGATGGATGGATGGATGATTGATGGATGGTTGATGGATGGTTGATGAATGGTTGATGGATGGTTGATGATGATTGATGGATGGTTGATGAATGGTTGATGGATGATTGATGGATGATTGATGGATGATTGATGGATGGTTGATTGGATGATTGATGATGATGGATGGTTGATGAATGGTTGATGGATGGTTGATGGATGGTTGATGGATGATTGATGGATGATTGATGGATGGTTGATGAATGGTTGATGGATGATTGATGGATGATTGATGGATGATTGATGGATGGTTGATGGATGGTTGATGAATGGTTGATGGATGGTTGATGGTGATTGATGGATGATTGATGGATGGTTGATGAATGGTTGATGGATGATTGATGGATGATTGGATGGTTGATGGATGGTTGATGAATGGTTGATGGATGGTTGATGGATGATTGATGGATGATTGATGGATGGTTGATGAATGGTTGATGGATGATTGATGGATGATTGATGGATGATTGATGGATGGTTGATGAATGGTTGATGGATGATTGATGGATTGATGGATGGTTGATGGATGATTGATGGATGGTTGATGGATGGATGATTGATGGATGGTTGATGAATGGTTGATGGATGGTTGATGAATGGTTGATGGATGGTTGATGGATGATTGATGGATGGTTGATGGATGGGTTGATGGATGATTGATGGATGATTGATGGATGGATGGATGATTGATGGATGGTTGATGGATGGTTGATGAATGGTTGATGGATGGTTGATGGATGATTGATGGATGATTGATGAATGGTTGATGGATGATTGATGGATGATTGATGGATGATTGATGGATGGTTGATTGATGGATGATTGATGGATGATTGATGGATGGTTGATGAATGGTTGATGAATGGTTGATGAATGGTTGATGGATGGTTGATGGATGATTGATGGATGATTGATGGTGGTTGGATGGTTGATGGATGATTGATGGATGATTGATGGATGATTGATGGATGGTTGATGGATGGTTGATGGATGGTTGATGGATGGTTGATGGATGATTGATGGATGATTGATGGATGGTTGATGAATGGTTGATGGATGATTGATGGATGATTGATGGATGGATGGATGATTGATGGATGGTTGATGGATGGTTGATGAATGGTTGATGGATGGTTGATGGATGATTGATGGATGATTGATGAATGGTTGATGGATGATTGATGGATGATTGATGGATGATTGATGGATGGTTGATTGATGGATGATTGATGGATGATTGATGGATGGTTGATGAATGGTTGATGGATGATTGATGGATGATTGATGGATGATTGATGGATGGTTGATTGATGGATGATTGATGGATGATTGATGGATGGTTTGATGGATGATTGATGGATGATTGATGGATGGTTGATGAATGGTTGATGGATGATTGATGGATGATTGATGGATGATTGATGGATGGTTGATGGATGATTGATGGATGATTGATGGATGGTTGATGAATGGTTGATGGATGGTTGATGAATGGTTGATGGATGGTTGATGGATGATTGATGGATGATTGATGGATGGTTGATGAATGGTTGATGGATGATTGATGGATGATTGATGGATGGTTGATGGATGGTTGATGGATGGTTGATGGATGGTTGATGGATGATTGATGGATGATTGATGGATGGTTGATGAATGGTTGATGGATGATTGATGGATGATTGATGGATGATTGATGGATGGTTGATGAATGGTTGATGGATGATTGATGGATGATTGATGGATGGTTGATGGATGATTGATGGATGATTGATGGATGGTTGATTGATGGATGATTGATGGATGGTTGATGGATGGATGATTGATGGATGGTTGATGAATGGTTGATGGATGGTTGATGAATGGTTGATGGATGGTTGATGGATGATTGATGGATGGTTGATGGATGGATGGTTGATGGTGATTGATGGATGATTGATGGATGGATGGATGATTGATGGATGGTTGATGGATGGTTGATGGATGGTTGATGGATGGTTGATGGATGATTGATGGATGATTGATGGATGGTTGATGAATGGTTGATGGATGATTGATGGATGATGGATGGATGATGATGGATGGTTGATTGATGGATGATTGATGGATGATTGATGGATGGTTGATGAATGGTTGATGGATGGTTGATGGATGGTTGATGGATGATTGATGGATGATTGATGGATGGTTGATGAATGGTTGATGGATGATTGATGGATGATTGATGGATGATTGATGGATGGTTGATGAATGGTTGAAATGGTTGATGGATGGTTGATGGATGATTGATGGATGATTGATGGATGGTTGATGAATGGTTGATGGATGATTGATGGATGATTGATGGATGGTTGATGGATGGTTGATGGATGGTTGATGGATGGTTGATGGATGATTGATGGATGATTGATGGATGGTTGATGAATGGTTGATGGATGATTGATGGATGATTGATGGATGATTGATGGATGGTTGATGAATGGTTGATGGATGATTGATGGATGATTGATGGATGGTTGATGGATGATTGATGGATGGTTGATGGATGGATGATTGATGGATGGTTGATGAATGGTTGATGGATGGTTGATGAATGGTTGATGGATGGTTGATGGATGATTGATGGATGGTTGATGGATGGATGGTTGATGGATGATTGATGGATGATTGATGGATGGATGGATGATTGATGGATGGTTGATGGATGGTTGATGAATGGTTGATGGATGGTTGATGGATGATTGATGGATGATTGATGAATGGTTGATGGATGATTGATGGATGATTGATGGATGATTGATGGATGGTTGATTGATGGATGATTGATGGATGATTGATGGATGGTTGATGAATGGTTGATGAATGGTTGATGAATGGTTGATGGATGGTTGATGGATGATTGATGGATGATTGATGGATGGTTGATGAATGGTTGATGGATGATTGATGGATGATTGATGGATGATTGATGGATGGTTGATGGATGGTTGATGATGAATGGTTGATGGATGGTTGATGGATGATTGATGGATGATTGATGGATGGTTGATGAATGGTTGATGGATGATTGATGGATGATTGATGGATGGATGGATGATGATGGATGGTTGATGGATGGTTGATGAATGGTTGATGGATGGTTGATGGATGATTGATGGATGATTGATGAATGGTTGATGGATGATTGATGGATGATTGATGGATGATTGATGGATGGTTGATTGATGGATGATTGATGGATGATTGATGGATGGTTGATGAATGGTTGATGAATGGTTGATGAATGGTTGATGGATGGTTGATGGATGATTGATGGATGATTGATGGATGGTTGATGAATGGTTGATGGATGATTGATGGATGATTGATGGATGATTGATGGATGGTTGATGGATGGTTGATGGATGGTTGATGGATGGTTGATGGATGATTGATGGATGATTGATGGATGGTTGATGAATGGTTGATGGATGATTGATGAATGGTTGATGGATGGTTGATGGATGGTTGATGAATGGTTGATGGATGGTTGATGGATGATTGATGGATGATTGATGGATGGTTGATGAATGGTTGATGAATGGTTGATGGATGGTTGATGAATGGTTGATGAATGGTTGATGGATGGTTGATGGATGATTGATGGATGATTGATGGATGGTTGATGAATGGTTGATGGATGGTTGATGGATGGTTGATGGTTGATTGATGGATGATTGATGGATGGTTGATGGATGGATGATTGATGGATGGTTGATGAATGGTTGATGGATGGTTGATGAATGGTTGATGGATGATTGATGGATGGTTGATGGATGCGGAGGCCACAACTGGCCCTCCAGTGTGCTCTGTGGTCAGTCTGACCTCTGACCTCTGACCTCAGTGCTTCAGCATGGACTGCGCCTGCACCTGCCAGCCTCCAGAGTGCGACTCCTGCAACTGCCTCTGCTTCGAGATTCGGATCAAGTAGAACCCAGGACCGGTTCTGACCCTCTCAGAGGAACGACGTGAAGCCGGCCCGGTTCTGCTGAACAAAACCGACCTGACCCGTTTTCACTGGCCCATCTGTGGTTCTGACCCGTTTTCTGAGCCGGTGTGTTTGGACGCAGTGCCCAGTCTGACCACCAGATGGTGTTGCCGCTCCATTCTCTGGGTTTTGAGATGAAGCACGCGGTGACAGTGGGAACCGTTTCAGGAACCCGGCCGGTTTGGACCCTCCTCCCCCCCTGAAGTCTTCACCCCTGTCTTTGCCTCAATCTGTTATGTTGCCCATCGGGTCACTGATTGTTTGTGACGGGTCACAGGAGCTTTAACTCTTCCAACCTGGGCCAGCGGTCTCCAACCTGTGGCTCCTGGGCCACACATGGCCCTTTGGTCCTTCACTGTGGCCCTTATGAAAGACTAAAAACAGTTTTTATATTCTAAAAGCAAAAAGGAGGGCTGGTTTAACCAGTTCTGTATTTGTACATCAATGCTTTGTTTTTGAATATAATTTAATGTTTTTACGGTTCAGACTTTGATCTCCATTTTTTTGATGGGCTGCGAATCTAACACATTTAAACTTTTGGGTAAAACTTAGTTTGTTCTGAAAACTGAACATAACATTGTATTTTGTTTAATTCCCTTGTTTATAAAGCTTTTAATGTGGCAGAGGGGCAGGAACGGGAAGGTTGGAGAAGGAGCCTCTGGAAGAGCTGCAGCTCAGGTGGGAAACGTTTTGCTGTCTCACTCTGATGTTTCCGTGCCAGAAGAAGCCGAGCAGCTTGGAACTATGCTTCTCATAAAGAGAAGTCATAAAGATCCTTTTCTTTATGACTTTATTCTTCAGTCATAAAGAGAAGGTCTGTTCAGGTCGCGCCACCTTTACTGCAGCAGGCGAAACAGGAACAGCAAGTGACACGTTTTCACAGTTTAAAGAAAAACTCATTTATTTCTCAATACAGTTTTACAGTAAAGTGCAATCAAAGCCTGAGAGAACATAAAGAGCCGTTGATTTGATCAGATGTAGCTTGCTTCTTACAATCACTTCAGTGCAAACATTCATGTAAACATTAGGAATGTTGTAACTTCAGGAGGAAACGTCCGCCGCAGCGCAGTGAGGTAGTTCAGTCCAGCTGACATCTGCTAGCAGGTTCTGGGTCCACTCTGCTGCATCAAACTAATCAAACATGACTCAACAAAAACAAGGTCTCCCTGAGGATGGAAAGGCTCCTCCAGAAGCAGAACCTCACTGGCTGAGCCCCCTGAGTAGCAGCTTACATTCATTTGTGCGTCACATCATGTAAAGGTGGAGGTCTATGAGAGGAGGTGGAGGTCTATGAGAGGAGGTGGAGGTCTATGAGAGGAGGTGGAGGTCTATGAGAGGAGGTGGAGGTCTATGAGAGGAGGTGGAGGTCTATGAGAGGAGGTGGAGGTCTATGAGAGGAGGTGGAGGTCTATGAGAGGAGGTGGGTCTATGAGAGGAGGTGGAGGTCTATGAGAGGAGGTGGAGGTCTATGAGAGGAGGTGGAGGTCTATGAGAGGAGGTGGAGGTCTATGAGAGGAGGTGGAGGCACGCCGCCAGGAGGACCAGGGGCAGGCAGAGCTCTGAGGCAAAGGGGTTCTGGGTCGCTCTGCTCATCGTGATGGCGACAGTTGCAGCCTCGGCGTTGCTGTTGGCGGTGTTGTTTGTGCCGGCGGTGCCGTTTCTGATGACTGGAGTCAGAAACGGCCCCAGAGAGCGGATCAGAAAGTCCTGGAAGCGGTCCAGTTTCTCGAAGGACATAAAAGGAGCCTGGCGCTTATGTCTGGTAGTGATTTCAGCAAACGAGAGCACGACCACCTGGAACCAAGATCCTTCCTGCTGACACATGAGCGGGTCACCAGAATAACCCTGAATGAAGATACCAGAGGTCAAAGGTCACTAAGGGTTCCTGACTGTTCTCTGACCAAGACTTTTGCCACACACTGATTCTTACATTGATCGTTCCTTATAAGAACCTTAAAGTTTCACTTTAGATTGATCTCGCCTTGTTTGTCTCGCTTCTTGCTGGTTTTATATGATTTTTCCATTTAAACGAAGCATCAAACTTTATCAAATGTTTTGTCCACTTAGAGTTAATGAGCGCAGAGATCAGAGAAACTCGACCCATAAACTCGGCCAACCAGAACCGTTTCTGTGGCTCAGTTATAATTGTAGTTTACTAATTTCAAACAGAGCTCAAAAGTTATATCTGCATGTGTAATATTAATGTGAAGTTTTTCACCTGTTCCTGTGTAAACACTCCGGTACACAGGGTGTCGTTTTCTGAATCAATCCCACAACTTAAAACCTCGGTCTGGAACTTCAGAAGAACTTTCTCAGCTACATGACAAAGAGTAAACTTTAGCTTAACAGCCATATGTTCATGTCTGATTGTTGATGTTAACATTGCTGTGTGTTTGATTCACCTCCTCCATTCACAGAGCTCCAGCCAGCAGCCCAGCAGGTGGATCCCTCTGGGAAGGTTCTTCCGTTGTCCAGGCAGATGGGCCGAACGTAGTTGGTCAGTTTGGGTTTGGCTGACAGCTGAAGCAATGCGATGTTGGAACCTGTTAGGGAGCTCCGAGTGATGTTTCCTACAGCAACAGACTGCTCAGAAGGGTTCGATCCGTTCTGCTTCAGACGACCCAACACAACAGTGTATTCAGACGCCACGGAGTCTCTGATGGAGAGAATGGAGTCAAGATGAAGAACTGCTTCAATACAGATGGTCAAGAAGCACTTCTCTGATTATTCACTGAAAAAATGGGTTGGCATTACAACATTTGAGCTTTTCAAACAAATATTTAAACAGTGAAGAATAAATCACAATTGACCCAAAATTAAAGCTTGTGAGATCAGGCTGAACAGCATCCTCTACTAGAGCTCACTCTGGAATGCAGTCGGCATTGGTCAGAACGTTGTCCTCAGACACCAGCGTCCCTCCACAGACATGCTTTCCTCCTTTCTGCAAACTCGCCATCCACGGCCACTCGCCTTCTGATGACAAGTTTCCACCCGGAGAACCGGAGTTTAACGGGGCTTCGCCACAGGCTACAGCTGGAGAAGGAGCGGTCAAACACCCAATAAAACTCTGGGCTTCATCAAATGGGTTCACACTCAGTTTCTCCAAGTCTGAGGTTAAAAACAAACCTTTCTAGTCTATGCGTGATCAGTACTTACGCCTGGAAGTGGTTGTGGTTGTTGTAGGAGACGGTGCTGAGGAGGTACTTGTTGCTGTTGTTGGTTTGATGATGTTGGTTGTGGTGAGTTTTGTTGCTGCTGAGGTTGTAGTAGTCAGTGGTTTTATTATTGGCTTTGTAGTGCTTGTTGTAGTGGTAGCAGGAGAGGTAGGAGTGGTAGTAGTGGGAGTAGTAGTGGTAGTAGTGGGAGTAGTGGTAGTAGTGGGAGTAGTAGTGGTAGTAGTGGGAGTAGTAGTGGGAGTAGTAGTGGTAGTAGTGGTAGTGGTTGGGGACAAAATTGGTGGAACGCCAGTGCAAGAGATGCTGAGGTCGCTGTTGGTTCCGGTTGATGTGAAGGTGATGAAGCCCGGCTGGTCGCTGGCGATCTGGTCTTTGATCCACTTCTCATACTGGGAGACTCTGGCATAGACCCCAGGGTATTTTGGGTCAGCACAGCCAATGCCAAAGCTCACAATTCCTGACTGAATCCAGCGGCCATCTTGTTTGCTCACCATCGGACCTCCTGAGTCTCCCTTTAAAATGAGAAACATGTTGGATGATCTGCTGGATGAAACCAGATTCTAACAAGCAAAGATTATCAATCACCTGACAGGAGTCCTTCCCTCCCTCCACTAATCCCGCACAGATCATGTTGTCAGTGATGGTGGGTGGGTTCATAGCCTCTACATTTACACTGTCTGTTGCCCACAATCGGAATCTCCACCTCCATGAGGTTTTGAGGAGATGGAAGAGAAACTGAGGAGACACAGATTCACATTAGAGTTATAAAACGTGAAGCATGAAAAAGTAAAAATAAAGGCACCGGCAGTGCCACGCCATGGAGTTTCAATCAGAGCCTTCAATAGACGCCACATTGAACAATATAAATACTATGCATCATATCAAGCAACAGGCATCCAAAAATATGCAAATAGATAAAAATATGCAAAGTAACAATGGAGCCCAACAATGCAAATATCCAGCAATATATCAATATTTAACGAAATACACAAGCAACAGTGCACATAACTGAACAGCCAGCAATTTAGCTAAACTTTCCCATGTTCCCCAGTGAAGCTCAACACCAATTCAAACTGCTGAAATAGCACATGTGAACAATTAAATAAAAATAAAATATTAAGCAAAATTTGTATGAGAATGTGACAGAAAAGTAACGCCACTCATTCCTTGTAAATAAAATCTAAATTTTGTGTTCAGTGCTAACTGTTAGCCACCGTATCGCTAATGGAGTCTGAGTCTTTAAAATGGCTCCCAATGTCCTGACTGTTCTGTTAGTGATTCCAGACTTGGTGTGGCTTTTTCATTTTTAGTTATTTATGTTTTATCTGTGAAAGCGTCTATAAAAAGGCGATTTTGATAAATCAGCAACTAGTAAACTGAAGGGAGCCATTTTGTAAACACCAAGTTCATTACAGGGGCAGCTCTTTACTTACATCCGGGCCTGTGGGCGGACCGCCACTGGATGTCAGCTCTGATTGGCTGATTATTTTGTATGTCAGCTCTGATTGGCTGATTATTTTGTATGTCAGCTCTGATTGGCTGATTATTTTGTATGTCAGCTCTGATTGGCTGATTATTTTGTATGTCAGCTCTGATTGGCTGATTATTCTCTGTCATACCAACTGTGGCCAATTGCTCCGGGTTTCTGTCCAAATGGTCGCTGGATTAGTACCGCAGGTCTTGCTGCTTGCCAGACGCATTTAAGGCACTTTTTAAAAGTTTGCAGAATAAAAATAAAATTATAGATACAATTAAGTATGATTAAAACATTCTACATTTTTCTTTTCAATTTTCTAGGGCTAACAGAGAAGACCTTGCTGGCCCTGACAGCCCACCACTGGACATTGGTACTATGAAGTCACCGTCACTGTTTACAAAGACTTAAAAAACTATTATTTCCATCTGTGTGGGAATAAATCACTAAATATTTCCTGTTTCAGGTCAATTAGGATCACCAGTGTTACATTTTTTGCTAAGTATGGGAATAATCAAGAGTTTTACTCAGATATCAAGATGAAGCTGTAAAAAAGGAGGGAGACAGAACCTTCTAATGTTTTGACAAATTTTGATTTGAAATTTGCTCTGCAGGGCTCAGTCAGCTCTGCTTCTGCTTGTTCTTTCATGGTGCATCTGACTGTTTCATAATGTCAAGTAGAACAGAGTAGCTCTGTTCTGTAGCGAGACCTACCACTAGATCCAGTGTTGCCCCAGCCGGTGACCCAGGAGTCCACGCCGCTGTAGAAGGTGCTGTCCGCCGCCGCCAGGCAGACCGGCGAGATGTAGCTGTTGAACGTTACGGCTGAGGAGAGCTTTATCAGGGCGATGTCGTTGTCCAGAGTGAGAGAGCTGTAACTAGGGTGACGGATAACCTTTGCTACAGTCCGGGTGACTTTGTTTGGGTTGGTTCCTGTCAGACTCTGAAGACCAGAACCAGTCTTGCCGAACCAATGTTGCTGGAAGAATTGCCAGAAAAGACAAACACACAAGACTGTAAATCTTCCTGAAGCTTTGAATTAATCCAGTGACACTTGAGCCACTGGTTGTCAGATCTCTCATCCATCAAACTAACCAACCGTTGTGCCTTCTGTGCTCACCTGATAATGCAGTGACCTGCAGTCAGCACCCATTCTCTGTTTATCAGAGATCCTCCACAGAAGTGAGACGAGGTCTGCAGACTGACCTGCCAGGGCCACGACCCTCAGGAGCCGCTGCTCCTCCAACAATCCTGGTGTTTAATGCTGGTTTACCACAATCTGAGGACACATGGACATCCACAGTTACTCTGCTCTAAGCTTCCTACATGTGGATGCTTTTAGCTGGATCTACTTTGCATTCAGGGACTGATTAAAACATCACAATATGAAGAACATAAACCGATGGACTCACCAGAGAGCTGCGACTCCGACTCTGAAAAGCAGAAAACAAACTATTAGAGGTAGAACTCTGGTTCTGAGGTCGATTCCTGGATGTGATGTGATGGCTGGACATTCCCATCATGTCACTGTTAGAACCTTCTGGTGTCTGGACCAGGACTGAACCAACAGGTTCTGATATCTGGGCTGATCCCTTTCTATGATGTCACAGGAAGCAATGCGCTTCAGGAGCTGCTTTAAAACACAATCAGATTAACCAATCAGAAGCGTCCAATAGAACTCAGTGATGTTGTAGGTCATGAAGACGTTCTCATTAGGAACGTTTCCTATCAGAACAGCAGCTGTGGCCAGATATGAGTTTATAAATGAATTTTTTTCCAAATACCTGGAAACACTCGCTGTCTGAGTCCAGAGACCCCACAGGCTTTCAAACACACTGGAAGAGATTTGACATGAACTGTTTGCTGGTGGTGGTGAGGATGACACAGTGGACTCAGGTTATGGTGCAGAAATAATTGTTTTAATGACAATCACTGGTGAGTTCAGAAATCTAGGCAGCACAGGTGATGCCAGGAACCGAGACAGACTGGTGGAAAACACAGGACTCCTGACATCTGAGACAGGATGCAGACACAGGACAAAGACCCCACAGGGGACAGGAGAGTATGGGTGGGTATAAATACTCAGGGAAGGGACAGCTGGGAACAATCAAGGGAACAAACAACACAGGAAGACAGAAAACCCAAATCCTCAGGAGATTTGCTCATCATGTTGCCAGGGCAACACCACTAACAAAAATCCACCCAAAGTAAATCATGAAATAAATGGGAATATTTTCTGTTCCTTTCACCCTCTTGATCATTTTTTCCAGTTGGAGGTTTTTCCATCAGAAACACCTGAACCTGCTGGTGGTGGCAGGCAGGGGGCGCTGCTGCTCCTGTGTGAGAGTCAGCAGCTGTTCTCTGCCTCCGACCGGTTTGGCTGCTTCGTCTCAAACGGAAGAACATATTTTCCTGCATAGTTTCAGTCTCTGATGACAGACAGTGAACATAACAAACTCTTTGTGTCTTTTGTTAGAATCAGTCAGAGGCTTTATGGTGGAGATGCATTCACTGACAGTCTGGGCAAACAAACCACTCTGTCCACACAAAGCCTTCAGTCTAAAAGCCTGAACCAGTTGGGTCCAGTTGGAGATAGACCCTGTTAGAGTCCACCAGATTCTGGAGAAGATCCCAGGACCGACCAGACCCAAACCCGATCAAACTGGACCACAGGAAGTGGTTCCAGTCCAGAACTCTGTTGAGTAAACTGAATAAAAACTAGAAGTAGAGTCTGAGTTTATAAATGTTTTTCTCATCCAGGAGTCTTTAGAGTCAAATGATGTTAGAAACACGGTGAGTGTTTCCAACCTGGCAGCGTTCAGAAACAGCGACTGTGAACGCAGCTCTCCCTGGTTTAACCTCTGACCTCTGGCTGAGGTCAGAGGTTCAGTCTGATCCTTGGAAGCTTGTACCTCTGCTGGTTTAACCTCAGACTTTTTAATCAGCTGCCTCTTTAGTCCTTGCTAAAGCTAAAGGTCATTTTATTTCTCCAGCACATTTTCAGTAACAAGGCAACACAAAGTGTTTTACAGGAATTAAAAGAAAATGCAAAAGAAGAAAAAGAATCTACTGTTGATGTAAAGCATGTTGCTGTTGCTAGAGAAGCATAAGTAAGAATTCTCTGGACTTTCTAAGTACACCCCAAATTTGTAAAAGTAGTGAGTACTCTACAATTTAATAATAAAAACTAAATGTTCCTGTTCTGGATTCTAAGTTGGTTCTTATTGTAAGACGGCAGCAGGTTTTGTCTCTTGTTGCTGGAACAGAAAGACGCAGAAACATCTCCGGATTGAAGCGTTATTCTTCGGGGACTGGAACCAGAATGGGACCAGTAAACTGGACCAATCAAGCTCTGGTTCCCAACCAGATGTTATATTTCAGTCTTTAAAATGCAAAACGGTTGGCAGCTGAATCTGCCTATTTGTTCATGTCACTAGATTAGAACCTTTATCTGTTTGTGAGTCACTGAAATTCCCCATGGTTGGAAAAAGTGATGGACGTTTCTCTTTCTATATTTCTATCTCTATGGAGACGGCTGAATGTCTCTTCAGTCTGAAAGCAGCGAGGCGTTTCAGATGGTTTGGTTAATGAACCCATGAAATGATGCATTTTTTTATATTTCACTAGTTTCTCTGAAGATTTTCTCCTTACTGTTTGAATTTTTTTTATGCCATTATTTAACTGTTATGATCAAATCTAAACTCACCAGCAAAAAAACATTTTTCATGTTTGTTTCTGTCCAGAGAATAAAACCTGCAGAATCTAATCTAATAATGAATCTAATAGAGTTTCAATTATTAGTCATTAATCTGTATTTAGTTGTATTTAGTTTCCCTTCATTGCATTTTTATATGTAATTATTGTCATCATGAGAGTTTGGACCTGATATTAATCTCACTATGTTTGGATTTTGAAGATCTAACTTTATATTCTTTCTTTTGATCATAATTTCCCTTCTAATAACCAAATTAGACCTGATATTAACGTTAATATGTAAACACTTTAAAGTCAAATTCTTTTAGCTTCTGTAATATGAATAAACAAGAAAATAAAGATCTGATTCACCCTGAACATCTCTGTTCTTCATATCTGACTCAGTTTGGCATCATGACCTTTGACCCTGCAGGTGATGAAGGTCAGCAGGTTCCTACCTGGAGTCATCAGAATCAGCAGAACCGCCGCACTAATCAGCTGGTACAGCTCCATCACTCAGAAACCATCTGCTTCTTCCACCTGCTGCTCCAGCATTTACCTGCCTGAGGCCACGCCCACTGTCTATATGCCTGAGGCCACGCCCACTGTCTATCTGTCTGAGGCCACGCCCACTGTCTATCTGCCTGAGGCCACACCCACTGTCTATATGCCTGAGGCCACGCCCACTGTCTATCTGCCTGAGGCCACGCCCACTGTCTATCTGCCTGAGGCCACGCCCACTGTCTATCTGCCTGAGGCCACGCCCACTGTCTATCTGCCTGAGGCCACGCCCACTGTCTATCTGTCTGAGGCCACGCCCACTGTCTACCTGCCTGAGGCCACGCCCACTGTCTATCTGCCTGAGGCCACGCCCACTGTCTATCTGCCTGAGGCCACGCCCACTGTCCACCTGCCTGAGGCCACGCCCACTCTCCACCAGCCTGAGGCCACGCCCACTCTTCACCTGCCTGAGGCCACGCCCACTCTCCACCTGGTTGGCCCATCAACAGGTTGCTTGATAAATCAAATTATTATTGAAAGTTTATTTCACTGTTGGATGTTTTCCAGCTTTTATTTCTATTTCTGTGATTTTCTGCTCACAATTCATAAATTATGACATAAAAGTAGAATAAAAACCTATTTTTATGGGGTTACAATAATAATAATAATAATAATAATAATAATAATAATAATAATAATAATGGAGGAACTGGGTTCCTGTCTAAGAAAGAAATTCAAATAATTTACTTTTTTTTTTTTTTACAATGCGATCAGCTTTTAATACTCTTCAGGTTTTTCTTCAGCCAATAAATATTCTTCAGGTTTATTGGATCTGACTGTCAGGTCGCTTGGGACTCACAAGTTTCCTTCCCAGACTTTTTCCACTCCAGATCTTCGTTATCTGGACTTCATCTGCTTCCTGTTCCACCAGCAGAAAAATGATTCTGATTGTTTTTTCCTCCATAAACGAAGACAAACATATCAGATGTCTGGATTTAGTTTCCTGAAGAGGAAAACTGGTTCCAGTAAACGGGTCTCCATGAAGAAACCTAAACCTGAATTACATCACAGACCAATAACCTTATGAAGGAGGTCTCACTCTGACTCATATTCCAGAGACCAAATATTGGATCAAGGAAGCAGTTCTTCATCTGAATTAAAGATAAATTCTAATTTCAAAATCCTCATGTGGTGCTGCTTTAAAGAGAAAAACTTTGAATTGAGCGTTGATGAAATACTACCAGACAAACAATAATAGATTATAGAAATAAGCTGAGTGACGAGTGGGAACACCTGCAGACAAAGGAGAAGCAGGAAGTGGAGTAAATCCGACCCGACGACATTCCTCAGGGTTTGATCTGCCGCACTCATCAGTTTTAAAAAGTTTTTCTCTCTGGTTCATCTTGACCCACAGAACCTTCATGGACGACTTTAGAAACAAAGTTCTGACCCAAAGCTTCAGAGAAAACAAGCAACTGGAACCAGATGCTTCCATCCACTCCAGCTTTTATTTCTGTCTGACCTGAAATCGGACCAAACGGTTCCTGTTTTGGTTCAGTTTGGATGTGCTAGATTTGTTCTGCTAAATTCTCGACTAGTTTCTAGTTCCTTCATGATAATTAAAGCGACCCGGGTCCAATGTTCTGGGTTCAAACAGCTACTTCCAACAGTCAGCTGGAGTTCTGAGCTGTTTGTCCTGACAGTACCAGTAGAACTGGGTCAGACTTCCTCACTTACACAGAACCTATTAGCTCTGGGACTGAGATCCGAACTTTGGGATAAACCCGCCAGAACTCGGACCTTGTTGTCCTGAAGACACTTTGGAACCTCTGCGGCTGCTGAGGGACATCAACCATCTGGACCAATCCGGACCAGTCTGGACTCTTTCTGAAGTTGAACCCTCTGCGCTTCAACTTCCTCTAGATGTTGCCAGACCTGACCCATAAAGACGGCAGGACGCTTCTCCAGAGATGAAGATCTTGGTCCAAGTGATTTCTGGACACTGTTGACTTTTGGAGTCGTGGTTTCCTCCTCGCTGAGCGACGTTTCGGTCCCAGTCGGCTCAGAAAACGTTTCTCTGTGGCAACAACGTGGCGGCATGTCTTAGACATGGGTTCTGGTCTTAAATCCCGGGGGGTCGAGAGGGTCCAGCCCACCCCAATCTTGGAAAAGTCTATAATTGCCCCCCAAAGAAATCATGAAGAAAACCTTGAATTTAAACAATATCAATATGAAAAGGCAAAATAAAGAAAAAAATAAGAATGAATCTTTTGTTAGAACAATGGTTCAGTCCAAAGTGCAGGAGGAGCAACAGCTGAACGGTACCGGCTCTGTTAGAGCCGCTGAAGAGAGGAGCTAGCTGCTAACTGCTAGCTGTTATGTTAGCTAGCTGTTAGCCAGCTGTTAGCTAGCTGTTAGTGGCTACAACAAGGAAACATGGCGCTTTCTGGACCCAAAGAGGTCCAGAAAAACCCATCTTGGTGGAGGTCCAAAGTTTTCCTCCTCCTATCTGGTCTGATTTTCAGCTGTTGCTCACGTCTGCAGGTGTTTTAACTGAGATGTTGTAAATTAACCAATTAGAAGCATCAAAAGCTATGATGTCATCACTTTGTTTTCACTTTGGGGTGGCCTCAGGGTATGTAAACTTGTGACTTCTCTGGCGATGTCACCTACATTAGCGACTGTTAGTGTGAAGAACAAAGAACCTCACAGAGCTCAGCTGAGTGATGAAAACCTGAGATCTGTTCTGAGTTACAACAAAACCAAGATCCGAATCGTTGCGCTGGCAAAAAAGGGAGATCAACGACACTGGTCCATAAAAGTGAATGTAAGTATTAAAACTCTAATGCTTTTCTATGCTTATGTTTCATATGTATGCATATGGTGCTAGCCTGGCCCAGCAGTCCAATATTAAAAGTCCAAAAGTTTGGCCTCCCCTGTTCCAGACGCTCACTGATGTTCTGATGATGACATCATAAGTGGGACCCAAACCAGGCAGCAGAGGTTCTGGTTCTGGTTCCTTTCTCTTCATGCAGGGATGAGAGCTGCAGTTGTTCCATCAGTTAACCCTTTTAAAGGTTTACTGTTTTAATATGACCATAAAAATGATGTCTGATGCTGATTTTTGTCTCCAGTGTATTTCTGTCCAGTTTGTGACAACATTTCCCCTGAATGCGTCAGAGCCGAGCTATCAGGTGATCCAGACAGATCTGGTGCCGCAGCTTCCAGTAAGTTAAGAGAAACTGGCTGAAAACTGGCTGGACAAGGAGCAGGAAATGCTCTCAACACAAAAGGTTCAGCGATGTGTGAAATGAAACTCTGCAGGTCACAAGACGGGAACCGAAGATCATTTTTTCCCCTTTTCTGTACAGTTTAGACATATTTTAATGTAAATAGGAAGAAAGCTAAATATTCTCTTTTTTCCCATCAACAAACCGCTGAGCAGCATTTATTTATTGAGATCCAAGTTTTCAGATCTGTCAGTTTCCTGCCAGAAACCGTCCAGCAAACAACTCGTTTCACCGTCGATGATGTCAGGCGGCTCAAATCAGATCGCCTGATAAATCAATCAATCAGTCAATCAAATTTTATTAGTATAGCTCATTTCAGCAACAAGACGTTTCAAAGTGCTTCACATCATAAACACAAAAACACAAAGTCATAAAATCAACAATACATTGTTCCATATTACATTTCTAATCAAACTCTAATCAGCTGGTTTTTAGTTGACATTTAAAGGAAGTCAGGGTTTCTGCTGTTTTACAGTTTTCTGGAAGTTTGTTCCAAATTTTTGGTGCATAGATGCTGAAAGCTGCTTCTCCTCTCTTGGTTCTGGTTCTGGGGATGCAGAGCAGAACCAGAACCAGAACCTGAGAGTCTGGAAGGTTGATACAACAACAGCAGATCTTTGATGTATTGTGGTGCTAAACCAGATGATCAATAAGATAAAATCATCCAATCACGAGGCTGGAGCATCTGGAGTTCAATGTGAGAATTACAGGGAGAGTACCGGACTTTTCCAAGAATGATATTATCTTTGGGACTATGAGAAAAGAAAAGAAATTTGAAACTCTGTTAAATGTCATAATTATTATGGGCAAGTTTTTCATACACAAATGTCGTTTCCTTAAAACCAAACCATCTTTCTCCTTTTTTCATAAGGATCTCTGCCACCTCTTCTTATCGCTGAAATTCATGAACAAAGGTCAAGATACAGAACTTTATGATATGATAATCATCATGAAATTGCTGGAAAACCCCTGTGAAGTGCACAATTCAGAGACTGAGGTCCAGACAAAAGTCAGGGAGCAAAAACAATCTTTAATACATCTGCAGACGGAGATCAAGAAAACACTGCATTAGGCACAAATTAGGATCCGCTCTGAGGAACCCAGAGTTGCATAGTTACTTTATTCATCTCTCTTTACTACCGAGGCGGAGACTCAATCTTCTAAGACCAAACAAAAGAAACAAAGGAAAACATACGAAACCTTGTATGTTCATTCACTGTAATGTGAAAACTAAACACTCTGTCTCCATGCAGGGAAGGCCACGGGAAAACAGCCAGTTCCCAAATAACTGTCTGGGGAAGTTCAGCAACCCTGGAAACTTACTGCAGTAGACACATCTTGGTTCATTAGTTTGTACACCGTTTGTAGCTGCACAGAAAAACACCTTGATACAAAAAACATTACATTTATATGACACATAAAGGAACACTATTTAATACCAATAAACCTCTTCACACCCCTAATGTATGTCTTTTTGTTTTGTTGTGTTATTTTTGTTCCTCCTTTTTGTCTGTATGGAAGCAGCTGAGATCAGTTTCATCATGTTTTTCAAATTTTATGTACATTTGAAGCCGATTACATGTTTAATGTATATGTTGAGTTAAAAAAAAAAAAAATTACAGGGAGAGCCATGTTGCCACGTTGCCATGTTGCCATAATTCATAGGAAAGTGGGGAGACTGATTGCTATAATGTGGCAGTTAACAGATAAAATCTTTTTTTGATGGATAAAATGATATTTAAACATATTGTTTTCCCTTTAGCACCTAAAAAGTTAATGTGGGTCAAATTTGGCCCCTGGACTTTGAGTTTGACACGTGTGGCTCAATCTGTCGAACGCAACATCGTCAATTATTTGTTATTATTATTGATTATCAGTGTCAATATGTCATGGTAAAACATATCTATCTATCTATCTATCTATCTATCTATCTATCTATCTATCTATCTATCTATCTATCTATCTATCTATCTATCTATCTATCTATCTATCTATCTATCTATCTATCTATGTATCTATCTATCTATCTATCTATCTATCTATCTATCTATCTATCTATCTATCTAAATCAGCTTTTTTTGGAGGTCTGTGGGTTTCCTGCTTGGAAACTGTCAGTCAGATCTGGCAACCTCGCTCTGGAGATAAAAGAAATAACCTTTGACCTCTACTGTTCCTCAGTGGATCCAGTGATCAAGTCAAGTACCCTTGGCTGCAGCATACGGAAAGTCCAAAGGGTCACAGTTCCTACCGGACACGCCAATACATCATGGCTAGTGAGCCTCACAGTGCCACCTGGTGGTGTGACAGGCTCATTGCAGGTCCATCATTTTACAGCAGCCAGTTTAGTTAGTAAAGTTTATTATTAACGCGATTGTTTGTCAAACCAAATATCCAATGAAAAGTCCCATCAGCCACTATGAGGTGCAGATTCTTCACGCAGGCAAAAGAAGTTTAATGTCCAAACTTGTTGACTGTCTGTTTGCTTTTGTTTCTTTTGTTTCCTGTTTTCTTCTCTTGCTCTGGTAAAAACCACAGAACCCAAATGCCTGCTGGTCCTTCACCAGAACCCTACAGCATAGAAAGTGGACTGACCCACATAACTTCCTGTTTTGCTTAGAAAGAATAAATTAGAAAAATAAGAAAAAATAAAATAAAATCAACAATTATTAACCTGTATATAATACAAAAAATAGAAGTTTAAGAATAAACTAACAAAATTCAAACGGCTAAAGAAATAAAGAATAAATAGTTCCAATGATGCACTTTTTACAGACAAAACCACCAAAGAATCAATATTAACTGAGCCAAAGAACAGAACAAACCATAAGAAGAATCATGACATAAAAATAAGTTTATTCAGAACCAACATTCCGGTTTTCATATGTTTCTGTCCTGAGGAGCTTCTATCGCTGCGAGGTGGAGAGCGTTTCCTGTCTGCATCACTGTGCAGCACAGCAGCCGCACTGCTGCAAGGACGGCTCTGCACAGGGAGGTGCAGGCAGCGTTTCCTCCACCTCTGACCTCCAACATGCAGGAGGAAGTTGCTCCCCATCATGAAGGACTGAGGCTACGTTTTGTACCACAAACAAGCAAGGCTGATATGAGAATAAAGAAATCCTCGAATCCCTGGATGAAAATAAACCTTTCTTCTAATCACTATGTAGAACAATTCAGTCCTGCTGGATCAGTAATTCAGCTGAAGCTACTAGCGGATCTGAACGGTTTCCTTCAGGTCTCCTGTTATTGGCCGACAGGTGAGTTTCACCTGGGAAAGGTCACTAGAGCAGAGGCACACCAACAATCCAGGACAGGGGCCTCCAGGCCTCCAGGCCTCCAGGCTTCCAGGCCTCCAGGCCTCCAGGCTTCCAGGCCTCCAGGCCTCCAGGCCTCCAGGCCTCCAGGCCTCCAGGCCTCCAGGCCTCCAGGCCTCCAGGCCTCCAGGCCTCCAGGCTTCCAGGCCTCCAGGCCTCCAGGCCTCCAGGCCTCCAGGCCTCCAGGCTTCCAGGCCTCCAGGCCTCCAGGCCTCCAGGCTTCCAGGCCTCCAGGCCTCCAGGCCTCCAGGCTTCCAGGCCTCCAGGCTTCCAGGCCTCCAGGCGACCTGCAGGTTTTAGATGAGCCACACCTCCATCTCCTCCAGGTGTGGATCAAAACTCCAGAGCCTTAATGACTTATTATTCTATTCAGGTGCAGCAGAGGCTCAGCTACAGGTTGCAGGGGCCCAGGGGCCCCCAGGACTGGAGACGCCTGGTCTGGAGAGACCAATAAATAGATAATAAAGTCTATTCTAAATATAAATCACTTCTAAATCAGTAGAAAACAAAACTCTGAGAAGAAGAATCAACATGAATGAATGTGGAGAAAAATAAACCAGCAAACATGAAATAATTTGTGGGTCTCCATGACGACAGGAATGCTGTGGTCCAAACCTGCAAAGTGTGATTGGATGTGATCAGCTGATCGGCAGCAGAGCAGCTGCACAACCAGGAAAGAGGAAAAGCTGCTCTTGACTTCCTGGAAGGTTTAAAACTGGATTTATTAAAAACTCTCTGCGAACAAACGCCATCTTCCAGAAACTGTCACAGGCGCTTCGCTCCACCCACTGGACAGAAATTCATTTAGTTCACATATTTCATTCAAAAAGGTGAAATTATATACAACACTGGTGTTTTCCAGTATGATGGCATTTTCAAATTCAGAACATCACAAACGCAAAAAATGAGATTAATACAGAAATGTTCCACTGTGTCCAAGTTCTGACCTCTGACCCCCATGTTCTGGGTCCAGAGGACATTAGTGGGTGGAGCTTAAAGGTTCTGTCAAGAGGAATGGGTCAGAAGCTTACTGAACACAGAACAGTTCAAAGGTCAATTGTAGCAAATCCTGAAGAGAAGAAACTTCTGGCTTCAAAGAAAGAAAAAATTATTTGAACAAATAAATAATTTATTGAATCAGAGAATCTGACCCATCTGCGACCCATTACTGAGCAGCACCTGGACAGGAACCGGTCCACGCCCCGCTGTTTGGGGACGTCACACAGTAAATACTTTACATGTGTTTATTTTGGTTTTATTGATAATTATATAAACAACTTTAATATGAAACAGAAACAGACACAAAATCAACCAGTTAATTTAAAACATGTTTCTGTGAAGACAAAGAATCAACACAGAACAGTAATTATTATGATTATTAATTATCATTACTATTGTTATTAGTGCAGATAATGATTGTGAATGAAAAGTGGTTTCTGGTTTCTGACATAATGACTTCTAAACAATAAAACAATCTGATCTGTTTGGTTTCAGATAAAATATCAGCAGCTGTTAAAATTCTTCATTGACTCTTTCAATAAGTTCCAGCTGAACTGGGCCACAAACAGAACCAGAGGTACCAGACTTCCTCCAGGTGAAACCAAGAAAGACTTTGAGAAACCTTCAGCAAATCTGGAGAACTTTTGATCAAAACAAATTAAATTCTGTCTCCTTGGAAGGAAAACCTGAAGGATCAGAAAGACTTGATTCATCAACCAGCACCTGCTTCCACCTTCAACCCAAAGAACCGCAGAGAACCGCTCTGTAGAAAGACAAAGATCCGGTCAGACTTTAGGCTCCCATGAGGGAGAGCCACCAAACTCGTCCTTTCTATGAAAAGAGCTGCAGACACAAGAGGAGGATGAGGAGGTGGAGGAAGAGGAAGTGAGCCTCGGGGTGTCCGCTGGAGGCAGTGGTGACGTTAGTGGACGGTTCTGGAGACAAGAAGTCCCCGAGTATCCGAGTCAGGAAGTCGTCAAAGTTACTGAGTTTGACGAAGACATTCGTGTTGGCTCGAGTTTGGCTGGTCGAGGAGTTCAAGGTCAGAACCACGGCAGCCTGGAACCAAGAACCGTCCTGCTGGCACATGAGCGGACCGCCAAGGTCACCCTGAGGAGTAGAGGGAGACGGTTCATCAGAACCAGATTCAGAACCAGCTACAAACATCACAGTGAGCAGACATTCACACTGTTCCTCACAGCACAGATCTGCAGAAAGGTCTGGAGACTCGAGAAAATAACCCACACTCATCCTGGTTCTGGTAGTTCTGGTTCTGCTGGAGATCCTTCTACGTTTTTGGATGTGAACCTGATCTGTTGGTTGAGTCACTTACTTGAGGTAAACTTGCACAGGGGGAACTTCAGGGGCCCCAGAAAGCTCCTTTGGCCAGGAGTCCGAGACATTAATAATCGTTCCTCGGGTTTGTGATGATTTTTATTTTCTCCAGACAGTCAAGTTTGATCATCTTCTCAGTGCTGACTTTTGAGCTTCTGACCCGTGATTGCTGGGAATTCCTTGTTGAAGGGAAACAATTGCAAACCCCAATCCCTATCTTGAGAGGAGTCCAGCGGGTGACGGCGCCTCTCAGTGAAGGGTAGACACACGCTGATCCACTCAGATTTTTGGACATCTGAGGGCATCACAGACCTGGCGCCATCCAGATCGTTATCGGAATTAGCCAGACAAACCGCTCCACCGACTAAGAACAGCCACAGAATCAAGAGAGAGCTATCAATCTGTCAATCGTTTTCGTGTCCGGGCCGAAAGAGGTTTCCCGTTTTGAGTCAGATTGAGCCGCAGGCTCCTCTCCTGATGGTGCCAAGGACTAGATCTTCAACATCGGGTTAGTGGAGCTCACATCCAGTGGCTGTTTTCCAGACCTGAGCTCGGGATCACTGCAGCTCCTCCAGAGTTTCCATGGTCCAACTTCTCTGATCAATGCTCTCGTTTAGGTGGACATACATGTCCAGGAGATCCGTCTTGTCTCCATGTCTCTGTTAGATTTTCGAAGCTGGAATGTTGTAGAACAGAACCCCGTCTCAAACAGAACCAGCACCTCCACCACCTGTTGCTGGGTTCCTCTATGATGGTCTCAGCAGAACCTCTGGAGTCAGGCAGCACTGGGTTAAAGTGGCAGTGCATCACATTTAAGATTATGAATTCTTTTTCTTGCACAGGAAATCACAACTTTGTGTTTCCTCTCATAAAATCACAACTAATCTACTTCAAGTTTGTTGTTAAAATCAAACGAAATCTCAGAACTTTGGTAAATACTTTGGTAAACTTGTTGGAAACACATTTTATATGAAATGTGACAGAGATTATCATCTCAAACTGCTAAAGAAGACACTGGTGCAACACTCCGAAACACCATGCAGACAGAGCTTTAGAACCTTGACCTTTGACCTACAGTCTTGCTGATATAAATAACTTTCAAAGAGATGAAGTCTTTGTTTCCTGAGGGACGTTTTGTCCCTGTGGACACTCAGTGTCCCTGCAGGTCAGCAGGACAGAGGTCAAGCCGCCACTCACCTTCTCCAGAGTGAACTGTGAGGTGCAGATGTTCTCCGTGGAGGAAACATTTTCACAGGTTTGCACCGATGTCTGAAACTCCTGCAGAAGCTCCTCGACTGAAGTTGTGGGACATAAAATGTCATTTCAGATGAGAGCTCTAGAAATCTAGTGTCTGAATCTGGCAGACTTGCAGCCTCACCTCCTCCTCGCCCAGAGCTCCAGCCAGCAGCCCAGCAGCTGGATCCGACCGGGAAGGTTCTGCCGCTGTCCAGGCAGATGGGCTGGATGTAGTTGCTCAGGGTGGGGCGTGTGGACAGTTGAACCAAAGCGATGTTGGACCCGGTCAGGTTGCTCATGGTGATATTTGACACGTTGAACGATGACTCAAATGGGTTGGTCCCATTCTGCTTCAGACGACCCAAAACCACCGTCCACTCAGACACATTAGGAGATCTAAGGCAAGAAAATCAACTTCAAAACTTCAAAACTTTGGATTTATACGAGCAACTTGTCAATCTAAAGGTGATGTAGAAATTACTCAAAATGTTTAGATTTTATCCTTTAAAACTTTTATGCTTTTAAACAAGGAATAGTCTCAGCTATTTTTATACAGCTGCAAGCTGGAAACTTACTTCCTCTTTTTCCAGGAAACTTGCTCTTCCTGTCTCATGTCTCTCTGACTATGATTTCTTATGATTAGATAGAAAAAAATAAGTATAATGAAAGCTAAGTTTGCAGGAGACAAAACAACACACACAACCAGATTTATTTTATTGCAGTCTGGGTCTACTGTTGGATCTAGATGTGATTGGTGTGACTTATTTTAAAGATAACTTTATTTGTTGTTACTGTTAACTAAAATCTCCAGCATGGGGAAGTGGGACGATCTCGGATTTTCTTGACAACATGCAGGTGTAGCTTCTGTCATCCAGAAAAATAAAATCCAGAAGCTTCAGCAGAAAGAAGCTGGACTTCTTTTCAGTTTGTTTGTCTTTCATTATAACTCACACAACTTCCTGACCATGTGAGGTGTTCCTGTTAAGATGAACTGGTGAATGCCACTGATCCAACAGAACCAGCTCTGTGGTTCTTTTGCAGTTTGTGTTTATTTGTCATTGATCAACCTGGAGCAGTCTCAGTACTGTGCTAACCATGGAAACCAGACTGAAAGTTGCCAGAGCAGTTGCTCATTGTTAAACTGTTGAAACACTTTTCTCAATAAATTTCTGACCGGCCAAAATGGAACCAAAGCTCTCGGCAGGCTGGGTCCCGGACCTGAGGACCAATGTAAACACACCGGTACCAGACAAGTCCATCAGAACAAGCACCGGTACCAGACTGGCCCATCACTATATCAGAGCAAAACTACCTGTGGGATCTTTCGTGACTCACTCTGAGAAGCAGGCAGCGTTGCTCAGAACGTACTCCATGGACACCAGAGTCCCTCCACACTCATGCTGTCCCTTCTTCTGCAGACTCGCCATGGACGGCCACTCACCAGCTGCCGCCACAGAACTACCCGCCAGAATGCGAGAGTTCAGTGGGGCCTGGCCGCAGTATATCGCTGGGAGATTAAAGAACAGTCACACTTCAGAACCCATTTTCAATAATGTCTTCAATTATAATTCACAACTTCCTGATCATGAATGATAAACAGATTTTACAAATCCTGGACATGTGAGGTGTTCATGTTAAGATGAGCCAGTTGAAATGTTGAGGAGGAATTACTTGGTGTGATTGGTGGGACCCCAGTGCAAGAGATGCTGAGGTCGCTGTTGGTTCCCGTTGATGTGAAGGTGATGAAGCCCGGCTGGTCGCTGGCGATCTGGTCTTTGATCCACTTCTCATACTGGGAGACTCTGGCATAGACCCCAGGGTATTTTGGGTCAGCACAGCCAATGCCAAAGCTCACAATTCCTGACTGAATCCAGCGGCCATCTTGTTTGCTCACCATCGGACCTCCTGAGTCTCCCTTTAAAATGAGAAACATGTTGGATGATCTGCTGGATGAAACCAGATTCTAACAAGCAAAGATCATCAATCACCTGACAGGAGTCCTTCCCTCCCTCCACTAATCCCGCACAGATCATGTTGTCAGTGATGGTGGTGGGTTCATAGCCTCTACATTTACACTGTCTGTTGCCCACAATCGGAATCTCCACCTCCATGAGGTTTTGAGGAGATGGAAGAGAAACTGAGGAGACACAGATTCAGAGTACAACAATTTAAAGACTGAGGCAAAGCTAGCCACTTCTTCGAAAAGGCGGCTGCACAGTATATGTACATGCGCGATAGCTCAAGATGTTACGGTACCTCCATTTATGTTCTGCTTTCAACAATAAAAGCGCACATCCGGTTCTTGTCCTTCTGGAAACAGAGTTTTCAGTTTTGCTTAATGACCCTGATTATTTCCAATACATTATTTCTTTTGGCAGCTGCATAAATACAAAATCTAAACTTGAAGCTGCTGGAAACCAACTTGCAGCAAATCAAACATGAACCGATGTGAGCTTTTACTCTGAAAGGAGCTCGTAAATTATGGTGCCGTAACATCTTGTGCCATGGCGCATGTGAATATTTAATGCGGGCTTTTCGAAAAGGCGGCTAGTTTTACTGCAGTGTTTAAAGGTTCAGTCCATGAAAAAGTTTAACAGGAAGGACAGCGTTAAGAACGTCCTCCATTAGGGTGTGAAAACAAACGCACAGGAAATGCTGCTAAGGAAAGAAGGTGCACTTTGACGGAGTAGTCGGAAGAAAGACGGGGTTAGGGTTAGGGTTAGGGTTCCCTCTGGACCACTGAGATAGTCAAAGACTCTGTGAATAAAATGCTGTTCAAGCAGGACTGGCCTTTTGAAAGCATTTCAGTCGCTATTATTCCTTCTTTTGACAATGTGTGAAAGCTGGATGAAATGTTTGAGCTCCAGCAGACATTTTCAAATCATCACAGTATGATGAATGTGCACATTTTAGTTGAAATCATAGACATTGTCAAACTCACAGCTGAAGGGTTTCTGTATTTTATTTTTCTCCAACATATTATGTTGTTTCTAAGTTATTTAAGTGCCCAAAGGTCTGTATTGTTATTATTATTATTATTTTCACTGGTTAATCAGTCATTTAAAGTCTCACCACTAGATCCAGTGTTGCCCCAGCCGGTGACCCAGGAGTCCACGCCGCTGTAGAAGGTGCTGTCCGCCGCCGCCAGGCAGACCGGCGAGATGTAGCTGTTGAACGTTACGGCTGAGGAGAGCTTTATCAGGGCGATGTCGTTGTCCAGAGTGAGAGAGCTGTAACTAGGGTGACGGATAACCTTTGCTACAGTCCGGGTGACTTTGTTTGGGTTGGTTCCTGTCAGACTCTGAAGACCCAGAACCAGTCTTGCCGAACCAATGTTGCTGGAAGAATTGCCAGAAAAGACAAACACACAAGACTGTAAATCTTCCTGAAGCTTTGAATTAATCCAGTGACACTTGAGCCACTGGTTGTCAGATCTCTCATCCATCAAACTAACCAACCGTTGTGCCTTCTGTGCTCACCTGATAATGCAGTGACCTGCAGTCAGCACCCATTCTCTGTTTATCAGAGATCCTCCACAGAAGTGAGACGAGGTCTGCAGACTGACCTGCCAGGGCCACGACCCTTCAGGAGCCGCCGCTCCTCCAACAATCCTGGTGTTTAATGCTGGTTTACCACAATCTGAGGACACATGGACATCCCATCACTTCTGGAGGATCTGCAGACCAGGACAGTCACAAATCGACTGAAATGTCCTGACAACCTGACATGAATGCAGAGTCGGGTGACTGTGTACGCTCACAAGGAACCTTTTAAAATGAATGGAGGAGATTTACTGTAAAGTACTTTTTACTTCTGCTTCAAGATCATGTAATATTTTGTGTGAGTTACACAGTGAGACTGAAGTCCTCAGTACATCAGTAGCTTTGGTACCAAAAACAATTTTTCTCGAGTATTTTCTCGGTTTATCACGTTTAATGTGAAAGTATTGATGTTCTTTGCTTCGTCACCTCTGCATGAATGTCAAAGTTCAGATCTGGTTTCACTTGAAGGAATCGATCAGAAAACACCAAGAAAACCCAGACAGGAAAGTTAGGATGGAGGAACTCAGGGAAAATTTCTCCTACCTGACAACTGAGAAGAAGATTCTGAAAAATGAAACACAGCAGCAAGTTAAACACACAGGGAGTTATTTCTATTTCATTCTTGTTCCTACAGAAATATTATTATGAACTCAACACGATTTATCTGAACTCGACTATTAGAAATTCTGGTACCGGTTCCTGCAGAACCAAAGACCCATCCAAAGATCGTACTGGCCCGTTACCCGACCAGTCAGGCAGTTCAGTATCTTCAACATGACAGAAGATACATGACAGGTATTCATGCATCTTCCATCAGAAGAACTTCTTGACTGTATGTCGAGGCTTCATCGCTCCACAGCGTCATGGATGCGTCGGGAAAATTCGCCATTGCGCCGACAGCTGTCCAAGACCGAGACGCAGAATGGAGTGCTGCGTTCACCGTGCCTGCGAGAAACCTGCGATCTCCATGGGCATGTCATGAGTTGAACGCTCACGACGTTTTCAACTAGCAACCATGCCAGAAGGTCGACATATTGGATGGATTAGCTTTGACCTTTAACCCTCTAACTAAGGCCATTAGAAACTTTGGTCATTTCTCTGAGCTTCATGCTCTGACTTCCTGTCTAGGCCAAAGCTGGGCAACTCCAGGCCTGGAGAGCCGGTCTCCTGCAACTTTTAGATGTGTTTGTACTTCAACACATCTGAGTCAAATAATGGGGTCATTAGCAGAACTCTGCAGAACTTGACTGCATTTAGGAGGTGATTCAGCAATTTGAATCAGCTGTGTTGGACCAGGGAGACGTCTAAAAGTTGCAGGAGACCGACTCTCGAGGTCTGGAGTTGCCCATCCCTGCTCTAGGCAGTAAAGAGTGGACCTCAGCGAGGCTCAGGCACGACTCCACAGCTCGGATCCAGGACTGTCTGCAGACAAACAGCTGTTGGATCGAGCGGTCCACGGGTCAGAACCACACACCCCGGTCTGCCTCGATCAGTCCTTCATCCAGAACGTACAGGTCAAAGGCCAGGAAAAAATCACCTGGCATCTCTGCAGAACCCACACATCCTGGACATGAACTTGTTTAGACTTTTTCCTTCAGGGAGCGCTAAAAACTTTAACAAATGTCCTTAATGATCAGTTGTAAATGTTGATCTTGTGACCAAATCTAAAATCATCCTTGACTTTTATCTACAGCGACAGTTTGATTTCACTATAACCAATGTGGTAAACATAAACATTACATGATCTATTCTTCTGACTGCAATGGTGTAGATTTATCTATAGGCTCTCTTCCTATTGGCTGATCGGACCCTCATGGTGGCTCCTTCTCCAACAATAAACTTCTGAGAAAAGTTGAATCTTTAATCTACTTCAATTTCTTTTGCTTTGAAATGTAACTTGTTTTTTTTTTTTTTTTGCTATAGTGATGGTCTTTAGAATCAATTTCTTTCTTACTTTAATCTTTAGAAAATAAAGTAATAATAATAAAATAATGGATGTAATTAATCATTAATTGAAAGTGAAAGAGTGATCTGATTGTGGTGCTGAAAATTGAAGTAAATTATATATTTGAACATTAACTGAAGGTTGTTTGACTAAAGATAAAACTCCTCCCATTTCCTCATTCCTCACATAAGGAATGTTTCCTTCCTTATGTACTTGTTCCAGGAAACATATTTTACTCATTTGGTTCATTAATCTAAATCAGATTCTGACAGACCAACAGAACTGGTTTTATATGTGACTGAATCTGTCAGCTCTTCTCTGATCTGTTCTTGGAAATGATCTTGTTTAAACAAACAGTTGTGAATTTAGAGCATAATAAGCTTCATATCTGGTGTCAAATGTTCACTAAACACCTGGAGTTTGTCCAGCAGAAACTTTCATATTCTGACTAAATCGATCTTTGCACATTTATAAATACGATTTATCTTCACATTCATGTTCAAATAAAAAGCAGCCAGTCTGACTTTATTTATAAAACACAGAACAAAAATATAAGCAAGTAAAACATTTCAATATACAACTAATATGATCAGAAGTTCAAATAAAATAGAAAGTAAAGGAGCAACAAGAAAACTGAACATAAAGAAAATCAAATCAGTTTAATAATCTTACTACCAGCAGATTGATTTTTTATTTAATTTTTAGGGTAGATAAACTTTTTTCAGACTCTTTCAGAGACTTTTGATGCAATTTCAGGCAAATTTTAAAAACATTTTTCTCTGTTATGCAGAAAGCTGCTAGTTATAAACTACATTTTACACAAAATCAAAATTTTAGATGGAAAATTCATTCAGTGGGAAAAACCTTTAACTTATTTGTAACCAGAAAAATCCTTTTTCTGTTTGATAAAATCAGAATCATTTGATTAAATGATGTTTTTTGATATGTTGTCACAGATGAAGCTGATTGGTGGAGCCCATGCAGGTGAGAGTCCTACCTTGAGTAAACAGAGTCAGCAGCGCCGCCACACAGATCACTTTGCAGAGCGCCATCTCTGGAAGTTCCAGTTGGCTGCTGTGCTGCAGCTTTTAGTGTCTCTGGCCAACAACACGCCCTCACCTGTCCCTCCTCCCAGCAAACGCCGCAGCCACTTCCTGTCGGCAGTCGTACTTCCCCTGAGCTCCAGACTACATGTTGGCCTATATGTGGTTGACTGACAGGTTAAACACAACAGAAGAAATATGGCCGACTTGTTCAGAGGGATTGATGATATAAAACGCTGCCTGGCCTTCAGCAAGACATGAAGAGTTTCTCCCAGTGAAGAAACTCGTTTATTTGAGTTCTTTTAATGTTTCCCCTTCTATAGTTTCTTTTCAGAAATTAATTTTCCAGTGACACATTATTATCAAGTGACATTTTCACATTTCTTGTCAACTTAAGCACATTTGAAGTCAGAACCATCAGGGAGGGCAGCAAGTTCACTGGGGGAAAACAGAACATGGTGGTGGCAGCTTCATGCTGCAGGAAGGGAAGATGTTAGAACTAAAGGAAAAATAAATGAGACAAATTCAGAACAAACCTGAACAAAACCTGCTAGAAGCCAAAGACTCGGTCAGAAGTTCATCTTCCCAAAGAAAAACAAACAAGTGTTAATTTTAGCTTGTGAATGTCAGAGTGACGCAGCATTTTGATGCTGCAGAACCACAACGTCTTTCACTGAGAGGAATGTACACATCTTGTTCATCACACACACACACACACACACACACACACGCAACAAGAGCCGAGCATCGGTACAGAATCAATTCATGAAGGGGAAAAAACCCGACTTCTCTGGTTCCTGGCAAAAAATCAAACATCTTCCCATGTTTGAGCCGAAGCTGTGAATCATCCAGATGATAGGGTTAACCCTAACCCTAACCCTAACCCTAACCCTAAACCAGTTCATCTATGACCGACTGAACCAACCAGCTGAACTGGTTCAACACGCCTGACCAATGAACTGTTTATTTGTTCGGAACATCAGATGATAAACCTGATTATATCTCATCACACCGAGTGTTTGTTCATAAATAACAGGTCAGCATCTGAAAAGACTTTTTACCACAAACTTCACCTTCATGTCACATCATTACATAAAATCAGCAACTTTCCTCAAATCAGGCGTTTCCACCTGTAGAGGAATAATTATTACTTTCATAATTATTTCTACTGAAGTCAGACATTTACTCTGTAAAACTTTATTTCTTCAAGCTTCTTTGGCTCATGTCGCCTTATGAATTAATGGAGTTTAAACTATTAAATCCTGATTAAAGAGAGAATAAATTATCCAGGTCATTAAATATTAAAAAGTTATCAAAGAAATCATTAGAAAAAAAAAGTTTGACTAAAAAAAAAAAAAAAAAAAAGTCCAAATCCTGATCCTCTGGAAACGACCCGCTCCAGGTTTCATCTGCTCTTCTTTGGGCTTCTGGACCTGGACCGGCTTTGAGGGTTCCGGTTCTGATCTCTGCGAGGATGTTTTTTTGTTTTCCATGATGTCACACGAGGAAGCAGCAGCTGCAGATTTTGTAACTGAACCAATCAGAGGCTTTCAGAGTTATGACATCATCATCTGGGTTTTCCCCAGTTGGTGTATGTAAACTTGTGACTTTGCAGAGGCGTTGAGTTCACAGAACCTGTAACCGGGAGTTCACAGAACCTGTAACCGGGTCACGATTCTTGTAAACGTAATTATTCTGAATAAACTAATTATGAGTCTGTTTACTCTAGAGCTTAACCTTTAACCTTCACCTTTAACCTTAACCTAATCAGGTCCAGTCCACATAACCGGTTCTGAGCCGATTGGTTTATGTTGAAACCAGTTCATTATAAACCATAATAATATCGGAATCATGTTAATGTTTTAAACTCCCAACATGATTTATGACCCAGAAGATCAAACCCTGACCTCTGACCTTCCACAGCTACATTTCAGCATTATTAAGAGCAGCTGCAGAATCATGGTTGAATACAAATGCACACCACACTTTTCAGATTCTATTATTTTTAAACCAGGAAATAAATTAATAAGGAAAATAATTCTTATTATGTGGCAGATGCCCCATAAAACCCAGAACAGTAAAATCAAATGTTTAAGGGGTGCTAAAACTTTTGCAAGACTGAGAATAGCAGGAAGTTTGGGTGAAGGCTGGAGCGCCCCCTGCTGGACATTACCAGGTATTAACCACAAACAGGAATTATTTGAAATGAACTCAAAACATTTGAAATGTTTCAGTTTTAAACCAGGGGTTAACGCTGCTGCCTGTTCAAATCCCTGCAGGGCCTCCATGTTGGGATCCAAGATGGCTGACGCCACTGAACCTTCGTCCCCAGAGCCTAAGAGTCTCTAAGGGTCTGGTTCTGGAGGTCTGGTCCGGATGCAGATGCTTCCCTGCAGAATCTGCTGACCAGCCATCGACCAAACGGGTCCTGGTCCAGTTTTGCTGGTCCGGTTCTGGGTGTTTTGCTGTAACCGGACCTCAGGGTTCGACTCTCTGGACGTTTCGTTTTAATTCTGGTTCCAAACTGCAGGATGTTTTTTTTAATATTATTTCCAGTTTTTCATAATTAATGTGAAGAAAACAAACATTAAATTTTCGTCTGAAACGCGTCAAGAAATGAAGAAAGAACTTTTATTCTGAAGCTTGAAGGTTCCAGAACCGATTTTTACCTGAGAACATTTATTCTATGAAAATATTAACAAATTAATAACATTTATGTACAGTCCAGGTGATGAAGACGAACAGCTCCTCTTCCTCACTTCTTCGACAGTTTGGCCTGTTTGTTCTTGGGAGGCGCCCACTTGAGACACATGGTGTCCACTGTGGACAGACAGAGAACATCAGAGACAGGAAATTGTTGAAGACATTTTACTGTCTTTCCATCTTTCTGCTGGACAGACAGAGGACAAGGTGTCCCCCTGCTGGACGCTTTCAGCTCTAGAAACGCATAGAAACATATCTAGATGTTTCTATGCGATTCTCCCAGCACACGGCCCATGCTCTTATTGTGAAGGTCAGAGGGTAGTCTTCCTGCAGGGGGCCGTCCCGTCCCGTCCCGGTCTCTCGCCCCCCCCCGGCTCACCTGTGATGGGTGGCTTCTTGTACTGGGCGCTCTTCAGATGCTCCTCCACCAGTTTGGGCGTAACGCAGATGACGTGTTGCCCCTTCCAGTACTTCACCATGTTGAGCGATTGCAGCGTGCTGATGATGTCACTCTGAGTGATGCTGGTCATCTGGCTGGAAGACAGCAGCGGGTCAGCTGGTTCTGGTTCTGCCGGGAACCGGGTCGTTCGGACCAGAACGGAAGCCATTTTAAATGTAAACATTAAACGGCAGTAAACATCCGTTCATGTTTCTGCTCTGAGCTCCTCTCAGGTTGTGCGAACTTTCTGAAAGTCTCCGTCTGCACAAAGACGGTACCCGGACCGCGTCTCGGACCTCTCTCCTGGTTCGGTACCGACCTGAGGTCCTTGATGGACAGCGTCCCCCTGAAGTCCCGCAGAATCTCCAGCAGAACCCAGGACCAGTAGCTCCGGTAGCTCAGCTTGCCCAGATCCGACAGCGGCTTCTCCGGCGAGCCGACCGCATTCTCCAGTTTGGACAGCTCATAGCCTGCAGAACCAGAACCAGAACCAATCAGAACCGGAGGCCCTGAACGGACACCTAACCAAAGGTGGGTTCTGTGACGGGAGAAGCTGAACCTCCACATCAATGTTTCATGTTTATCTTCATTTCCTTCCACAGTGGAGAAGTTCAGCAGTAGGTTAACATGATGTCATTAATGCTTCCACAACCTTTGACCCAGAGTCGATGGTTGGAGACAGGACTCCAGTTAAATGTTAGGCAGGCTCTGTAGCACCAACGGTTCAGGTAGACGGAACCCTAAAGCCAGCTCTGACCCTTGACCCCTGACTCACTGAAAGCTATGAGGAACTTCCCGTAGCCTCTGCGTTGGTACGGCGGCAGCGTCAGAATACACGCCACGTTGTTCCCATCCGGAGATTCTTTTTCCTGCAGAAACAAAACAATCAGACCTGATCATTACCATAATGGTGTCTTAATGATTCAAAGACCTGAGCAGAACCACTGGACCCGTCGGTACTAGAACTTGGCGTGTTGCATCTTAGACCAGCTGACCGTTGGCGATTTCACATCATACTTCAGATTTGACTCATACTAATAAATCTCTGGCTGCAGCGGCTTACCTTGGAGAAGTAGCCGACGATGTGCGCGCCCTGCTTGGTGACTTCGGTCAGGATGTAGAAGATGAACGGCTCCACGTCAAAGTAAAGTGTCTTATGGTCCAGGAACAGCTTGGCCAGCAGGCACAGGTTCTGGCAGTAGATCTGAGGACAACAGTCCAGTAAGACACCGCCGTCTCCAGGACGACCACCAGGGGGCGAGCTCACCTTGTGGTCCCGGCCGTCCACCTCGTAGACGGAGATGTTGCTCCTGCGGTAGATCTCCTTCCCTGGAGGCTGCCTCCACTGGCAGTGAGACTGAGGAGAAGGTCAAAGGTCAGCTGTGCTGATGAAATTGCAGCTTCTCCAGGCTGACCCCTACAGGGTCATGTGACCAGGGTCAAAGCAACGGCTGGACTCACAAGGTGGTGTCTGAACGTTTTCTCGTACTTCATGTACTTCAGGCAGAACTCGCAGATCCAGAGTTTGGGCTGCTTCCCATAATCCTCTGGGAACGGAGAGAAGTACCAGGCGTCGATCTCAAAGTTCCCGATCTGGATCTTATCCACGTACTTCACCTTGGTGATCTGAGGAGACGGAGGAGTGAGGAGGAGACCTCCACCCTAGCAGCTTATTGTGGCAGCACAGGTAGAGGGAGGTACGCACCGCCTCATGCTCCTTCTCCAGAGCAGCTGTCGTCGGGTCCATCTCAGCGTAGGTCTGAGTGGAGGAGAAAATTTGTGTTAGGTGAAACCGACAGTAGCATCTCTGCAGACAGCAGGAGGCGCCACCTTCTGCACGTGGTTGATCTCGTCATGCTTCCTCTTCTGGTTGCGCGTGATCTTCCGCTCGGGCTGATCGCCGAGGTCTCCGACTCCTCCGACCTCCGAGTTTTTTCTCACAGCGTCCTTCACCGTCTTGGTGAGCGCCAGCCGGTTTTTTCCCACCCACTCATCCAGGCGCCGGTTAACTGCAGTCCAAACGTCAAACTCTCAGTCCCTCTGAAGGACAGGTGATGGCGCTGGTTCTAGTTGTACTCAGATACTCACATCCTACATAGTGGACATAGAACTCCTCCCGGGCCTCCTGCTCGTTGAGCCGGGACTGGATCACCTCGGCCATGTCTACAACACAGTCAGTCAGGAGAAACATGAGACAACATTAGACACACCTGGACACAGTCCATAACTGAAATAAATCAATCTTTTCTTTAAAAAGAGCCCTTTGATATTTACATTTATTATTTAAATAGGTAGATTTAATTATCCCAAGGAATATTTAATTATTTATTTGCATAATCCAAAATGTCTTGATAAAATGAATTTATTGGTAGAATGGACTAATGATGCATATACATTTAATTAATGGGACATTTACACATGTAGATACTTATTAGGTATGGTTATTTAATTCAGTCACCCCTAACTCTCTAACTAAGCACCATTATAAATGTTTTTGCACATTTATGGTCCAGATTTATAAGTAGCAGCTTCAGTACTAATCGGACGCCAACTTCGGCTTCATAAACAAAAACTATTTATTTCAACAAAGCCATTTTTCACCAACTAATATCCAAACCGTTATATTTCTGAAATAAGCTTATTGTTC